AATTAATTAACTAATTGAAATCATAAAAAAGTGAATGTACTTAAGATTTAGAGCAATCATATCAATAGTAACGTTAATACTACACATATAAATTACAATTATATATAAATACACCAAGTAAAGAACCATTAAAAATACGTATAGAGCATTGAAGATTTTTAACATTATTACAGATTCAAAACATTGTCGGTAATATAGTTTAATAATTAATTATTAGCTTCCTAATTTTAAGTCAACTTATTTCTTACATTACTTAAAAATGATATATTTTTCTTTATTTATAAAGTCCAATTATTCTTGTCTTTTATTTGAATATATTATTTCGAAGAAAATGTTTGTTTTATTATTTATAGGTAGAATGTGTTATCAGTTGATAGTAGATAAATTTTAACCAATTCTCTAGAAGATGCGAGTTCGAATGTACAGTTACGAAATTTTGGAGCAACATAGCGCAGTGCTGATTAGGATAAATCGGTATCGAGTCTAAACATGTTATTAAATCTGAAGATGTTTTTTCTTACTTTCTAACATAGATGAGCTTATTTAGTTGTAATTAGCTTGTATACTAATATATCTATGATTAGTCGTATGAGGACCAATCTAAAATTATAATATTTGAAATAAAATATTAAACGTGTAGTAGTTAATTTGTGAACTAGTATACATTAAATTAATACGCAAGAATTGGTGTACGTATGCTTTTAAGATTACCAAAGTTACAATGAAATTGCCACATTCTTAGAAGAAAGCACTTTAGAAAAGGTTTTCTTATCTTTTAGCATGGTACTCTTTTAATTTTCATTGCAATAGTTTTTCAACATAACAGTTTTATATTCATAACTACATTAGCAACTTATATCGCATTTAATAAATTTTATATTACTTTAAGGTGTAAATATTTATTCAATGATATTTATATTAAATGAATAATTCAAATAAGTTTTTAATTATAAATCAATGTCATTCATGAATATATAATATAATTAAAATTGTAAATGTGCTCTAATGAATTAAAAGATATATGATTATAAATTATTAAAAATGAAATAATAAATATGGAGATTTTTTATTTAAGTGCAACAACAATAATGTATTTTTTATATTAATCTACATTAAAATATTTAAGAAAATATTTCTGCGCAGTACAAAATCTCCTTTCTTCATAAGTTACATTTGTAATAATCAAATAATATAAAAATGTTTTTTTAAAAATTAGGTAATAATAAAATTATTATTTATTTCATTTATTTATTAATAAATTAATATAAATAAATAATAAAAATGTTGTAATTAAAATAGTTTGTTAAAATTGAAAAATTTTGGATAAAATATTCATCTCTTACCTTAAATGAAAAATTAAAGATTGTATTTATTTATAAAATCATCACATTTCATTATTTTTATTAATTTGAAATATAAAAATAATAAATTAAAAAAAAATTCTTTGAGTTTATTAGTTATTCTATTTTTAAACAGCAGCTGTTCCTCGATCGATACAATGAAAATTGTTTTGAACATTGAACTTTGAAACATTGATAATATATTATTTTTGTAATATATATATATAAATATATAACTTCTATTGATTGGTAAAAAAATACAAATTTTTCACGTTTTAAATCAAATAAATCGTATAAAGCAAAATAAATTAAAATTTATGAAACTGATTTATATCAATAATTATAAGAATAATGAAAATAATGTAGACAATTGTATCTGAAATTCTAGACTGGAGACATTTGGTGTTGTAATTAAATATCAAGATCTCATAATAAAAATCAATAAATTAATCTTAGTTGTAAATAATAAAATTTTTGTGCAACAAATTATGTAAAATTACGAGTAATAAATTTTTTATTATAATTATCGGCAAAAAAATGAAATAAAATAAACAGTACATGTTAGAATAGAAAACATGTTTTTAATTTAAAAATAAGTATTAAAAAATCATGTATTAAAATCAAGTAAAATTTTCGTTATTGAGCCATAAATACGTGATAACATTTTATATTCTATTACTATTATTAATAATTATTACTATGATATTGATATTTTATCCAAATTTGAAACATATGTATGTAATATTTAAAAAAATTTTATATAAAAAGTTGGGTTACATTAATTAAACAAAATTATATTTTTACTTATGAATATTTAACTATTTCATTATTTTTAAAGTTTTATATTTTTATATATACCAAGCTATTTTATATTATATTTTCGACTTAGTAATACATTTTATTATGCTGATAATAAAGTTGAATTTTTACAATTAAAATTCTAAAATTTAACTTAAAAATATGTGTTCTAAGCCACCTGTCATAAAATGTACCATCTTATTATTTTTTTTATATTTTATTATAACTCTTCACTTATTTTATTTAATCTTGTTATTTTATGTATACAGTTAAATATATATCAATATTCACTAGTAGAAAAATTTTAATATTGTGAAAAATATTTTCACTCTATATGCTGAAGAATATATTTTATTTTATTTATAATTTTATTTTCATTTTACGTATAATTTTAATACACACAAGTGGAAGTTTTTGTATAAACAGCAAAAGAAATACTTTTACAATATCAATTATCTTATTTGTAACTTTATTTAAGTTTTAATGCGTAAATGTATCAATATAATATTTATTTTAATTAATATTTAATTTATTCTATTCAAGCATAAATTATTATTTATAATACTAGATTTTTAAGATAAATTAAAAAATTATATTTATTTATGTAAAATGGCGAGCTTATTTATTTGACAGTACATAATTTTATAAAATAAAAATTTGATTTTATATTTTTCAAGAAAGATGTACCGAATGATATTGGAAATTAGGAGAGGAAAATATACCACCACACCAGATGAAGCAAAACTTTAGACAAACCATTTACGACAGCATTTTTGTAATCAATTTTTGTATTACTGTATTGTTACATTTTTAATGATAATTATTAAAAGACGAATGAAAACAATAGTCATAATACTTGAACATCAAATAAATATTTTTGTTAATAATGTACAGCTGATTTAGAATTTCAACTGCATCTATCGATAATAACTGTAATATAATCTATACAATACATTCGTTTTCATTTTTCATTAAGCTTTGCTTTTTGTCTCGTTTGCTTTTCATTTACTTTTTCATTTTTTTATTTTCTATTGTCATTAAAATTGTATTCTACACTAATCTACATTAATTAACAATATACGTATTGTCAATTGTAGTTTAACTAATCAGGTTAATGAATGAATTATTACATCATTTCCGATAATTTATGATTTAGATAACTTACAATAGTTATAAATGTTATGCAACAATTCGATCTTGTATAATTAATTAATTATTAGGAAATAAGAATTGAAAACAATAATTAAAAAGTTTTCGATTAAAAATATGAAACTGTATAGACGATTGTATTTATACTTGAATATATATATTGTAGATATTGTTAGAATGTATTGGATATACAAAAATGTTAGAAAATGTAATCTTTAAATACTATATTATTCAATACTATATTATTAGTATATATAAACACAAGTAATAAAACTAAAAAATTGAAATCTTATAGGTTCATGAGATCAATTACAAAATTTAACATTAGCATAAGCGAATGAATGATCATCATAAAAAATTTATATCTCTCCAACACTGTTTTTTTTAATCATTATTACATCTATTTGTACAAATAGAATTATATTATTATTAGCTCTTGCCTTTACTTTAATCATTCTAAACTTATTTATAAGCTCACTTACTTTTATTACTCAGATTATATGGACACATCAAAACGAAAATATTTTACTAAAATAGATTTTTATTGGTAACTACATATTTAAGATTATAACTAGTTAAAATTACTTAAATCTATGTTTTGTATTGAAAAAAGCTGGGTATTAGGATGAAATGATTCTTTTAGGGTTTTTGTCGCATTTTAAATAAAAAATGTACATATAATAGTTTGTATTCTATTTCTAAAATTAGTTACAATCAACATCTATAAATTATCACATAACACGCAACTCAAACAGTAAAACAGCCAAATATTTATACGCACAGTCAATGATACATTAATGAATTTTTAATTTCATTATTATCCAAATATTTAGATTTAAAAGATATTTCGGAATTTTATTTTTATTTGGAAACTTGAAAACTAGCATATAATAGAATTAATAAATTCTCTATAATAAGGAACACTGACATGTACGTTTACATCGGTGGGATTTAATTCTCTGTTTCTGGTAGGACATGTTGCTATATTAACACCTATAAGTCTGTTATTCATGTCGAGGAGTGGACCACCACTATCACCCTAAATAGAAAAGAGAAAAATAGTTATGAATCCTTATTTACATAGATTAAAATTATAATTTTACATTTAATTATATGTATTTAGATAATAATTCGTATAATTTTAAATGAAAATATTAAATATTTCGAGCATTATAAAGCAATTTTGGTCAACACATTTTAAAATTTTATTTTATAAATAAGAAAACATTTTGAAATATTTACCGTAAATAGAACTAAATTTTATATTATCATTTTTAAATAAAAATTTGATAAGTAGATAAATTAGTTAAATTCTTAAAGATACTTAATTATATTTTGTTTAAAATAACTTAAGTAAGTAATAAGAAGCTTAGTTAATATGTAAAAAATTAGTATGATGTTACCTGTACAAATATTTATTAATCAAATTAAAAACTCTTTAATAATTTTGAATTATATTAATTTCTGTATCTACCTGTGAGAATTTCTATTTAAAATATATTTACATTACATTCTTACTATTGGCATTATATGTTTTATGGTGATTTTTAGAATGTTTTAAGTTTCGTAATAGTGTTTCGTCCAAGTTTGGCAAACGAGTGTTTCAGCATAAAATTTGAACAAACAAAATGTAACAGTAAGAATAATAGTACTACTATGATAAAATTAATTATGCTTGTAAATTAAATATTTGAAATTGATTTTTTATATCCTCTAAGTAATACTAAATGTATGGGAATAAAGAGCATTGATATTTACACCGCCGAGTAATGCATAAGGATTAGCCTTCGTGCATATAACTGAGTGTGGAACAGGACCAATTTCTTCTCCTTCACTCGCCTCTATTTCTCTTTGGCACTGTTCTCGTGTTAAAACTCTTAACTGAACTGTTTGCAAATGAGTGCACAGTACCCCATCATTTCCAAGTCCCCAACTTGCTATTACAACATTCGATCCAATTAGATTATCATCATTCAAAGTCGTTAGTACAACTGGTTCAACATTTGCTTCAGTCACTCGACGTTCTAACTAAAAGATTTCTCATGTGAATTTTTAAAAACATTTAATATCATTCAATATTTATATGTGAAAGAACATGGAAATAGGCGGATAGTCATGATGACGTATACGTAGAGTAATGTAATTTTCATTCGCAAGAAACGATTGTTTTGTAATGCATTCACTACGCTTGCACTGCCAGACAGGAAGTTTTTATATTTTGGAAATATATAGTTATTTATTTTTAATATACAAATTATTTTTTATAAACTTTTAGACCTACATTATCACAAATGAACAATGAATCATGTGAGTATTTTGAAAATTAATAATTTATAAGAAATACTACCTATACTAAATCTTCTATATCTATCTATAACTTGACTGATAATTTTAATTATATTGGATATGTTTGACTTTAATAAATTTCAATATGTAATGATCAAAATATTTGATATAATTATGAAAAAAAAAAAAAAAAAAATTCTTCAAGGCTATTAGGATGCATATGAATGAATGGATAATGAAAAAATTAATACAAAGACAAACAGACAATAATGTATATCTAATGCTAACGTAATGATATTTGTAAAATTGCATTGTAAGCATCATAATTATATTATTATTATTATTATTTTGGCATAGATATAGTTACTTATTATATATTACCGTTATTATAGTTATATCGTTGTCTATATACTCTACTTCTTTATTATGCTCTTGAGCCCATTGTTGATAGTTAATCCACGATTCAATTTTATATCGTTTACCTTCACTTAAAATTGTTGATCCGACTATGACTCGACATAAAACTAAGGAACAGCGCATACAATGTGCTGCACTTAAAACATGTTGTTTTGTAATCAATGTTCCAGTACACAGATGGTCGCGGAATGGATTACGTCTAGGATTTTTAACACTAATCGATACAACAAAAGTAAATTCGTTTCTTCTTGCTGCTCTAATATTACGTCCAACGAGTGCTTTGGCATCTGATGAATAGTATTGTTGACCTAAGGTGGATTACAATTATTAAATTTTAATATTTGCATATGAAATTTGACTTATTGTATAAATAATGGTACAAACATTGTTTAAATTGTTCTTGGTTGCAATACACAGAGATAATTTCAATTTATTTATTTGTCATAATCAAATATCATAATTAGCAATAAATATTCAAATATTCAGATATCCTTAAATATTACTTATCGTAATGTAATAAATATTACTGTACTTTTACAATATAGAAATTACCATTATTTATTATATATTAATATTGAAGTTTGAAAAAAAATGAGAAACAACGGAACGAAATATGATATGCCTGTAAAATTATATCATAATCTAAGCATTTTCCTTTCATTATAAAATAATACTACTATATTAGCATTTATTTAACTACGAAATATGATTCAAAATTAAAAAAAAATGTAGATTATAAAATGTGATAATGAGGAAATTCAAAATTATTATATTTGTAACATATAAAAATATATTTAAGAGAAGGAAAATTATTTTTTAATTGAATTTGATATTCCCTTATTATCGTGCACATTATTCAGTGAATTTTAATATTATCTATAAACCGGTGTAATATATATATTACTGTTTGCATTAATTTTAAGATCTTATAGTTTTCTATATTTTCAATTCCAGAATTATTGAACAGAATTTTTATGTTTCATTCTACTTAACTGTAATAATCACTTTTATCGTATCAATATCTTATTTATCTATGGTTAAGTATATTATTAATTTGTTTAAAATTAAAATATATGATTAAAAATAAAATATTCTTGATAGAAATAAAGTATTATTTCGTATTTGATTTGTCATTAAATCAAAAGATTTGTTTATGAAGACATTATGTTTAAAATTAAAAAAATTATTGAATTTTCAAGTTCTACTGACTTAAAAAAGATTTAAATTTCGAACGCTTAAGTAAAAATACTTTTTTTCTACAAATATGTTTTTATATATTAGTTTATACATATAATCTAGAATAATATATATAAATATATTTTTATGTTTTTATATTGAAAAATTTGAGTACTTACAAAATGTCAAATATTGCATAAATAGAAACAATCTTATGTATTTCATACTGGAATGAACAAGACTAATTTAAAAATGAACAATTCTTTACTGTTGTTAACTTTGTTCGTTACCTTTAGATAAAATGAATCAAGCAGCTAAATTCTATATATTCTTAATTTGAGTTGATAACTTTCACTATCTTTTCTATAAAAGATAATAAGCAAGAAATAAAACTTATTAATGTATGTATCATTATGTATGCTTTTTAATTGGATTTTGTTTTGTCAAATCATTATTTGCTAGTGGTTTTTTTTTTATCTAGAATAATTCCTCAAACAGAATATTTTCAATTATTGTACTTTTTATCTATATATATGTAAATAAAAATGTTCAGCTATATGTAAATAAAATTTCTGGCGTAGAATAATCCAGTATAATAACATAATACACTAATAAAACAAATATAATAATGAAATGTATTATGAAATATATTTTAATTTATGTGTTCAAACAAATAAAATCATTTACAAAGAATATTTTGAATTTACAATGCAATACTAAGCTAACCCAATAACTTTAATATTTTGCAAAAACATTTTTATATTTATTTAATAACACGATTTTATGGCCAATATTTAAAGTGATTAAATACTTTAAATTAATTATAATGGATACTATAGATATAGTATCTCATTATGAAGTATTAAAAGCTTATTATTAATGTAGTATTAGACCTTTGGTTGAAAAATTTCTAAGAATAAAAATATATATACAGTCAAGCGTAACGAAAAAATTGAAAGCCTAAATAAATATATTTTTACAACTAATTCTGATAGCAGACTTATAATAAATTATTATGCTACCTATTATTTTCACTTTTTTTTTATATCAATATAAAATTTTGCTGATCCATATTTTCGATTCTTTTATTATATTCTTTTATTATATTATTTTTATTATCTTCAATAAATTCATAATTTTCAAAAATATTTGTGTAATATGAATATCATACGTTTTATATTATTTTCTTGGCATTATTATGTTTGTGTGAATTCGTTATATGCTCGGCTAACATATTTTACGGAGTTAGTTACTTAGAATGTGCGGCGGCTATAATTAATATTGTCCAATATTATCAAAAACTGTTGCGCTCTCATTGAAATTGTAATGGTTGAATATTAATCGGGCTATTTGTTTTCAAAAGTTTTGTGGAATGTGTGGGAAGAGGAAGCTTGGAAATAATGAATTTTAAAGCCCGTAAGCGTCGGTGCTTATGTACCCTAACGATAGGGGGTGGTAAGCTCTACTCGAACGATTGTCGTTGCATTTGAAAATGTAGGAAGGCTCGGTGCGAACGGAACGCATGTGTAAGCAAATTCCTCAATGTACAGATAGTGGAGAAGTGAATTTATAAGTTGCGATAAAATCGCGTTTTTTAAGTGATTATCCAGTAGCCACTTTCCGATCATGAATTTCCTGTTGAAAACGTAACTCGTAAGTCAAAATCGCCTTAGACATTAGTTTTTGTCATTTTACTCTCCTCACTGATATTATCAATGATATATGTTTGTCAGCTTTGAGTAGGTTGTTACCGCAACATATCGAATTTTCACGTTCATTTGTGCAAAATTATTAAGAAGTAAAACGATTGGATTCTAGGAAAACGAATCAAGTACATCAGATACTTTATATTAGAAGATTCATTTGGATATTATTTATCTAATAGAAAAATTTTCAAAATTTCCATCAACGACACTCGATTTCACCTTGAGTCAAATAAAATGAAAAATAAACATGACCTATAAATGCTAAATACATAAGACAATCAGAACATTTACTAGCGATGCCATTCATTTCTAAGAATCATACATAAAGCTTTAATAAATATAACCATACTTGATTTAAAATGAAGCGCAACAATTAATATTTATCTAGTATAGTAAATTGTATGTAACTATTTATGGTTCAATGTATGGAACCATTTTCACTTAAATGGAATGAAATGGTCTTAAAAATTAATTATATAATGAAAATCTTATTTGCTTCGCCAAATTTACATAATATTTATTTCTGCGTTTTTTTTTTTTTTTTTTTTTTTATTGAATAATGATAAGTTGATCTAATCTCTAATGTGTAATTATATCATTGATAAATCTTGCATAATAATTGATGCTGAGATGAATATTTACTTCGAATGGATTGAATTCGATATGCGATTTCGGACATGTTCCTATATTGATGCCTATGACTTCATATTTCATGTTTAGTAATGGACCACCACTCTCTCCCTGGAAATAAATTGGAAATTTTTATATTAAAAAAAAATAAAATAAAATTATAAAAGTACAAAAGTATGACAAGAGCGTGCGCGCACGCGTATAAACAAAGTTAAAATAAACATTCAGTATTAAAGTATAGATATTCATTATCGAATAATGATATTAGTCCTTATCGTATTCATTTCATATTGTTTATTTGATTTTTCAAAATATTTATTAGAATTCATCTTATGTATTATAATTTATTATCATTTAAACCTATTTAGAGGCATTTAAAGCTAAACCTTGATTTTAAACATTGTATAACTAATATTATTATTTGCAAAAACATATTTTCAACATTTCAAAATTACTGTTAGATAATAACTTATGTATAAAGCAAATCTGTTTCATAAAATATATAGGACTAAGCAAATTTACTTTGGTTGAAATTTAAAAAGATAAAAATTATAATTATTAACTCTTAATAAATAACAAAAATATATTCTAATATTATTTAAAAAGCAGTTTTAAGACATAATGAAATTGATACTATTACATATATATGAAATTTCTATGTATTCTATAGGTTGTCTAAACATTTAATGTTTTCTGTATATTGTATAAACAAACATTTGTGTTTTTTTATGATTAATAAGAATCAAAACTTTAAAGTAAATACTCAATGTGAATAATGTGATAGAGATATTTACTGATTTGCTTTGAAATCTACAAAAGCATCGAAACACAGAAACACAGAATACACATAATAAAAAAAAACATTTGCATAGTTTAGTATTTAATATTGAAAAATTCATGATAATTTTGTTATAATTTTATAAATCTTATAAAATCTTATAAAAAAATTTAAATAACTTGTACGTTGGAGTTGTAGGACGAGAGATGGCGAGAGAGAGAGAGAGAGAGAGAGTAAAAAGAATTATGGAAATGTTTGAATTGAAAGTTATATTATTGTTATAAGTGAGTTTTTCATCTTAAGAAACGAGAACTTATTACAACTAACTAATTAGATGACATATTCATATTTAAAAATTTTCTAAACATTATAAATTTATAATATTATAAAAATTAATTATGTATTAATTAATAAAAACAATATATTATAATAATTATAGTTTTGTCTGTACATATAGATAAATATACACATAAATAAATAAATAACGATAAATCGATATTGTAAAGTATAAATGTGAAGAACGAAATTAATGATGGTAAAATAAAAAAGATTAGAATAACTTATTCAACTTTATTATTGTTGTTTCAAAATTTTAATAGCACGTTTGTTATATTTAGGCCTAAAAATTATCTTTGAAATATGTAATAAGTAGATATTAAAATTACAAACATTGAATACTTACACTTCCTATTAATGCAAATGGATGTGCAACTGTACATATAAATGAATGTGGGATTGTAATTAATGCGTTTGAGCATTTGTTCACATGGTCGATACACATTTTCCTCGGTACGATCGACAAAATTACAGTCTCCATTTTGTCAGAAACATTACCATCGTTTGAAATTCCCCAACCTGCTGTAGCAACTTCAAATCCATACAAATCCTTAATATTTGTAGTTGATAAAATCGCTGGTTTTATTTTTGAGCTTTTTATAGAGTGTTCTAACTAAACATTAATTTTCAATTTTGATGTATTATCAAATACATAAAAATACTTCAAAATTCTTAATTATAATAAAATTAATTATTTACAAAAGTATATTGACTTTCATATTGCATAATGTTGTATTATTTATTATTTAAAATTGTATAAATTGAATGTTTAACAATATATTATATATATGATATGTTTTGAGATCACCTGTACTTTATGATCTAAAATAAGAAATATGAAGAAGTCGTAATTTAAACATAATTAACGAAAGAATAATTTTATGCTAGCATAATATTAGAAATAATGATAATAATTAATTACTTTGATCGGTGTTCTGTTGCATGTATAGAGTGAGTAAAATAATAAATGAGCAAAATAATAAATAATAAATAAAATATTGTACAATATTTATTAAATTTAAGCATATAATAGCATGTATAAATTAAATGTATTTAGTTTAATTGAGCATCAAATAATGTATTCTAACGTTATTTACCGTTATAATTGATATGTCGTTGTCAGAATACTCCAGATGCACATTATTTTTAGTTGCCCATTGGTTATAGGATATCCACGCCACAATTTTATACGCTTTACCTTTACTTAAATTATTTGATCCAGTTACAAATAGAATATCATTTAAATTTTCAACCATACAATGTTCAGCAGTTATAGCATGTTTTCGGGTAGCAAGTACAGCGCTGCATATGTGATCTTCTTGTGGATTTGGCGTCGTGCTTTTATATTTAATAGATGCAATAAAAGGAAATTCTTTTTCTTTTGAATACCTAATATTGTGCCCCACAAGGCTTTTTGCATATGAATAATTATATTGTTTACCTCCAGAAAAGCAAAATTTTTGCAAATTAAAATCTCACTTCTCATAGGACACTATTTTATGGAAGAGTTTTATTATCATTTTACTTACCTATTACTAAATACAAGAGAAACAGAGGAAATAATCGGTTATCCATTAAGTCAATACTAAAATAAATAATTAGATTACGTTAAATAGTTTCATAATATTATTATAATCTTATGAAAATAGTTGTTAAAAAGCTATTAAAAAATATTATTATTGAGAATAAAATAAACTGATAAATTAACGTATTATGAAAAAAATTTCTATTAGTTAAAAATATAGTTTAAACGATTATGTATTAAAGATATTTGAAATATTGATCTAAATGACACTTTTTTATTTTTAAATCCATGTTGTAGCGGAATTATGTATAAACAATTTTAATCGACAGATTTTATTTGTGCAGATCGTTTACGGAGATTCATACGTGGAAATATTTAAAATCTTGCTTGATAATAATTTTTAACTTTGCTTATATTATATATATATATATATATATATATATATAGTAATGTAGTTTTAACGTAATTATAGAGATTCATAAATATCATAAAAGTATAAATTTTTTCTTAAAAATATTATGAAAACTCTTTATTTTATAAATATAAATATATCTCTTAAGCCAATAAATAATATAGATTATTAAAATTCATTAAATTCCACAGGATTAATTATTTTCTATTTTTTGAAATGGGGCCATTTTAATTTTTAGTAAATATAAATGTGTTATAAATGAAATTATCGTAAAAATAATTTCACTTTAAATATATAGGACTTATTAATATTGAAATAGGAAAAATTAGTCTATAAAATAGTTTTTCCTTATATAGCAGTTTTTATAAACATTATGTGTATTTCCGATTACTTGACTTATCATTCGGTTGCGTTCGGTATGCAGTTAAATAATTTATTTAGAAAAATATAAGGTCAATTTAATATAATATTAGACATGTGATTACTATAGAACGTTGATCACTATATGAATTAATAGTAGTTTATAATTTACACAATCATTTAGTCTGTTTCTCTTTTACTTTTCCAATCCCTTTTTCTATCACTTGTCTTTTTTTATCTTATATTTTATAATTTGTTACAAACTTTTTTGCTATTAAGAAAAATAGAATGCGTCTATTCGGCTACTTTTCGGTTACTGAGATCACTTTATCATAATTTCATTTTGTTTGGAATTACATAGATTATCTTGTATATTTCTAGTATGCACGATTTCAAATGAGTTATAACTCTTTCGAAAGACTAGTAAATAAACCAACAATATTATTGAATTTATGTAAATGCTACAAACAAACCGACAATTGAAGTTGAATGAATATGAAGAAAATTAAGATTTTTTGGATGTGGAAACAAAATAAATTTCCACACGTACCAGGGTATTTTTATAATATTCTATATTTTAATTTTTTAGTGAGATGGATACTATGCTGCTTTCGATAACTTCGAAAATAGCTAAAACAATATATTTAGGATTCAATGTTTTGGTTAAAATATTTAGTTTTAGGTTTAGAAATATAGTTGGAGGTCAAAAATGCGAAGCTCACGTATTCTGATATAAATATAAACTTTCCTTAAATTGAATATTCTTTACTTTCCCTGATACTACATTAACAAAAATTATAAAAATTATTGTAGAAGTAACTTTCTGTCTAGTATCCTTTTGTCAAATATACAAAGAAAATATTAATTTCTAATTATCATATAAAATGAATACACTGGTAATAAAAATTAATGATTCTAATATAAGTTATTATTATTTCTCCACATAGTTTATCAATTTTAAGGTAATTATAAATTAATAAGAGTATTCCATTTATATTCTAAAAAGAGCGAATAGTTGTTTTATTTTAAACAAATTGACTCTGATTTCATATACATTTTAATGACATTCATATTTTTGTCTATGCTGGTTTAAATTAAATTCAAATTGAAATTTTATTCCCTCTAAAACTTACCATAGCTCATTAAACCATAATTATTTTAAATCCTTTTAAAAAATAGATAGCATGAAAATATTTATCCATTTTCAAATATATTTTCAAGATGTTTTTCATAGTTCAAGGTACAGAACCAAGATTATTGTTTACTTAAAACCTCATGTGTAACGTTAATTTTAAATATTCTTAATACTGTGGTTTTCCAAATTATTGAATTTTATTTTCACTTATATTCATTATTTGTATAAATATTATACTGTTAATCAGCAAACTCCTACTTTATTAAATAATAAAAAATAATAATAATAATTGTTCATCAACTTTTTGGCTTAAAAATATCATTGTGTATTATTAAAGGAATAAAATAAGAAAAATAAGCTTTTGACAATGTATAATTAAATTTATATTTAACTTCGAATGTCATACAGAGTAATTATACCTTTATTATTTAATTAATGAATAAAGATTAGACATTCGATTAACGATAAATGTTTTTAACATGTGAATTGATACTTTAATATTATAAAGTACTATTTTACAGTAAAATAACTTTATTTTAACTTAATTTAATTATACTGGTTTATTTAATTATAAATTTAATTGTAATATTCCACTAATATTGTCAAGAATAATGTTATCAGGCATGTAATAAAATATAACTTTATTAAAATTATAATTTTTCGGAAAATTTAGAATACATAATTGTATACATGTATATATAATTTATTTTTCAATTATAATCATATGAATATAGAACCAAAAAATCTAATGTATTACTTTAAAAGGTTAGAAATTATGTTATAAAAATTATGTTATTTACATTATCATTGTATGTAAAATTATGAAATTTATTACATATACATTATGTATATATTTATATACAAATAAGATTAACATAAAACGATGATAATTTAAATATAATTAATTACTTGTTATGATTTAAATGATATAAGAAATTGAGTTAAAATTATATTCCTCTATGATTAAATTAAAATCTATTAAATTTTTTTACAACTACATACTTCAGATTTATAAATATTTTTTTAATAATTATATAAGCATAAATAAACATATCCTAACGTTTAATCGAATTTTTTTTTTAATATATGTTTAAAGCAGTTTTTTTATCATAGAAAATAAAACAATAAATATTTGAACTATACTTTTGTATATACTTAGAGTGGATTAAATAATATATGCTATAGTAGATTGTTGTGTCAAATTTATCTTCAAATATTTAATACATAAATTAAGCAGATATTAATATTTTTTAATTACTATTATTATTTCATCTATGAATAGATATTATGATTTTTAATTATTGTCTTACTAAATGTTTTCATAATCGAATGTAGTTTTTACTTATTGTTAATAGTACTAGTAATAATATTCACATTAACTTGATTTACAAACAAATTTATTGCTACATAAAATTATTACATACATAAATTTTCATCATGTATAACTAATTTATTAATAAATGTGTATATTTTGAAAAACTATTCACAAAATATATATACCTCAAAGTATAACAACCAAAAATAAAACCTTTTATGCAGGTAGCCATTAAGCACACTTTCGTATTTATAATATTATTTACTACAGTATTATTACCACTTTGTTGCTGAAACAAATAACGACATTCTTCATGTGCTGCAGTGCTTGCAGCCACGTAGTATTCCTATTCCGCCTATTCCGCAAATTATAGGTTTCTAATTTTTAAAAGGATAATATACGCCTATTTGCTCTAGGAAAATTTCTACATACAATTATTTTCTTTAGAATAAAATGGAAAATTTTTTAGTATATGATAATTCCATAAATATGCTTTCTTTTTTTTTCGTATGCAACCGTATTTATATATTTGTTTAATTCCCAAACCGGAATGTAGAAATAGATTTACTGAAAAAAAATTTACAATTGATGGATGTAAATGAGAGGGGGTCCTATTAGGATAATTTTTAGTTTCAAATAGAATATTTCTTTGTAAAAAAGGGTATTTCAATTTAATTATTTAATCGTAAAGCTACAATGTGAAATTTTAATTATTTAAATAAATTTCTTTTTACTTGTAAATTGATCGATGATTAAAAAATATATTATATACAAGTTCAATTATGTTTTAGAAAAAATTGTTATGGTGAAAATATTTTTTATGTACAAAGTTCTAATATGAATATTGCGGTTATATAAAAAATAATATAATTTTTTACCGATAATTATAGAAAATCATGAAGTAGGTTACTATCATTTTGTTCCATGATATTTTAATTTAATCAAAAATTAATATTTAATAATAATTTCTAAGTTATTATCACATTTAAAATTATAGGTTCATAAATTTCTAGCATAAGTAAGTATGGAGGTAAAAAGTTTTATGTTTCCTTGATATCGCTAATACTGTTATCTAGGTTAATAGAATTTAAAAAAAAAAAAAAAAAAAAAACAAATTGTTCTGAAGCAAATATTTGTATACAAATTATTAAGAATCGCAATACAATACCATATATATATTATCGTAGCTTATCAGTTAATTAAACATTATTTGAGTAAAAAATGTGTATTATGAAATAATGTATTTAAAACAAGTTGTTATAAATATATAAATATAGAGTCCCAGATTTTCAAATTACTCGTTTAGTATGATTATAATAGCTGCAGATGGAACATATTTGTTTACACAATGTGTGTGCGATCAATGTATAAATTTTTTTTAATTATATAAGCTTAAAATAAAAATTTATTGTTTATTAAATTTTGTCTAATAATAATAACAAGAATGAGTGATTAATTACATTTCAAAAATAATAATGAATTACTATCGTGCTAAATTAAATACTTTATAAATTAATTAATAAAAAATTTATTTTACATACAATTTGAATATTTCGTGTTTTAAAATCTATGAATTAAGTATCTGATATATACTGCAGACAAAAATGATACTCTTCCACATGCAGTGGATTCGCATGAAAAATACAATGAACTGTTTATTATGTTTATTATGATTTTATAATTCATAGCTTCATTCGTTTCTTCTCTTTTTTTTTGGCAAAACATTCTCTCAAAGATTTATGCACATACTATATTAATATTTCTATACTTTATATAACATGAAAAATGAATTTATTTAATCATTAATTGATATATTTCAAAAATATTCGAACCTACTGATTTTTGCAAGCTACACGTAGTAATTGTCCGAGTAGTGCTGCCCTCTAGTGGTAAAAACTAGTTTTAAAAACACCAGCCTAGTTATTTGACTCCTATGATAACAAATACAAATGTCAATAGCTTTTGTATTATTTGTTTAGGCAATGTGTTTAGTTTTCTAATTATTTCAAACTGTTTCTCTTGAGTTTAGATAACCAGCAATTATAGGGGTATATGTATTAATCCAGGCAATATTGTCTGTAGCAAGTTTTGTTGCTCTTAGAGCAACATTGAATGCAGCTCCTAATTGGTTAGCATTTTGATTTACAAAATGTTTGAACTGTAAAACAATATTCATATATATATATATATATATATATATATATTTTTTTTCTTAAAAATAATTTTTAACACGAATACTTAATAAACGATTATGTATTAAATTATGTATATATATATATATATATATATATATATATATATATATAAAGATGAAATTATGCATGGCTATGTAATAAAATAAATATTTAATAAAATTTGGAATAAAAATACACTAGATTCTTCATTGTATTTGTAAATAATAAACGTTACCTTCAATTCTTGTATATCTGACGTTATTTCTTGACCAATAGACGATAATATACCTTCTAAAAATGGAAAACCCCTTCTATAAAATGTTAAAACATTGATATCAAGAACTTTGTCTGCTTATTTTACTTAATATAATAAATAATATACGAACATGCGAATAATCTTATTTAAATTTGTTTCAACGTAAGTTAGTACGGTTTCCAAATTTTTACTGCTCTTGAAAATAATTGACCGAATAATTGGAAGTCTATACTGTTTGGCTAAATCCGTATCAGGATTTATGCAAAAGTCGAGGTACCTTTAATTATGCGATTAAAAATTTATATAAAAAATCAGTTCATGATTTTAATGATGTGAGATAAGACTGTATCCTTTACTTATTAATATACGAAGAATTCTCGGTGCAACATAATGCACTAATCATAATTTCCTTCTCCGCATAATATTTTGTGTTTAAAAAGCGTTCCCATAAAATAATCCAATTCTGATTAGATCCATTACGTATACCTGTGCAATATGCAAAGTCTTTCAAATTTGCCGATACTCTATAAATTTAAAATAACTTTATCAGTGTTGACACATTAGATTGAAGCTAATTAAGGGAATCTCTTTCATCTTACGATTTATTCTCATTTGCAATCCAATTATTGAAAATTGATTTTGCGTTCGATACACAATCCTCAAGATCCAAAAAACATGCGGTTGAAAGGACTATATTACGTTGCATCTTTTTTAGCTCTGTATCTAATGGTTTTTCCACAAAACTTAATTGTTTATAAATTCTTTTCAGCAGATTAGTTGTAAAGCGCTGCATGAAAAATATGTAATTATTAAGAGAAAAATGTATTTTATATTTAATCCCATGTATTTCAGTATTATATTGAAAAATATTTTTAACTATTAGTATTTGTAAAATTTATTGGATGCATAATAATTTTGTTAAATTGTATCGAAAGTTTTATAATTGTGTTCATTCTCTATTTTGATTCTTAATTTTTATTCTACATTTAAACCAATAAATTAAAAAGTAAAATAATTGTTTTCCCAATGTTTGCATTTTATAAAATTAATTTATAACAAGACTTTATAAATAAAACTAAGCATAAACGTGAAAAATAATAATATAAAATTTATTTATCAAGAAAAATATTATATTGTTTTTCAATATTTTTTTGAGCAATATAGATTTTATTTGGTACATGAATAAATAGAAGCTATTGTATTATTAAAAAATATAATTCATAAATTTTCTACATACCTCATTTACATATGTAAAACAAACAACAAAATAAACATTAATTTTCTTTTTTTAATACTATTTTTTCTTCTTTTTTTTCATATTATTTCGTATTATCACAATGATACAAATTTAACTTTTGAATTTACATATAAATGTGGAACTACAATAATTAAATTTATGAATATGAAAATTAAATTAATCTATTCGTCTCATTTCATCATTTATAAAAATACGATTTTTATTAGATTGTTAGATTCACAATTTATCAAAAAATTTGTCATATATAAAACCGAATTAAAATTCATTGTTCTTTGAATTTGAATATTTCACATATGTAAGCATAGTTTTCTTTTTATTTATCATTTACAATTCATTATTATAGAAATTATTACTATTGTCTATCAATTAGCCAGTTTACAAGTTTTATATTTATTTTTAATATTTAAACTGTAATAAATTATATTTCAAGTTATTCGATATAAGATGCAACGATATTTCGAATAAAATTCAATAATCTCTACATTATGTAAATTAAAAAAAGGCTATTATTTATATGTTCATTCTGATGGAAATTGATCTAATATATATTTCGGATGAAATTCAAATTTAATATCATTTTAAATATTTTTGTATGAATGCAGCTGCTTTGACTGATAAATGTTATCGATAATTTTACACTTATTACAGTCTTAAAATTTATTACTTAGCTCGCACTTAATTATTTTACACAAAATACTATTAATAAAACAAAATGTTATCAGTCAAATTATCGATGCTTTAACTAAAGTTTTAGTCATTAATTGTAATGAGGTATTTTATGTATCAAAGTGAAAAAACTTACTCTGAATGCCAATTGTACATCTACTCTGTCCCTTAATTTGTTATCCAAGAAATTAAATGTCCGACTAGCCATAACCCAAGGTTCATAGTCAGTCTCTCGATGTAAGTATTCTGCTAGTTTCAAGGCCTCGGCGTATCTCTTAGAGCCAGCTCTCGCCAAGTTGAATGCGTCGTCGAGAAGGGTTGCCCTGTCAATAGCAGCCACTCGATGAAAATCATCGGAATTCAGGACTTTCATCAAAGAGTTCCAGTTCTTCTGATCGTAATCCACACGATAATGTCCGATCTGCTTGGAATTCAACAGGAACCAGTGATTATCATTAATATCGTCCGGTAGATCCACGTCGATAAATTTCTCAGCTCCCAGCCAGGCAAAGACCTCAACTAACTGGCTGTTTCTTGTTTTTGTCGATGTGATGATATTCAGGGGGATCCACCAGAATCTTTTATTCGCTTCAACATTGCTGCGATTCAGGCGAAATGGCTCTTGCGAAATGCGCAGACGTCGTGAAGTGATGAGCGATGCTCTGACCAATGGATAATTTGTCTGATTTGCCCAAGATTCAATTACATCACCAAGAGTCACTGGAGTATGCATTGCTGAACTGCTCGAGTTGAATTTCGATTCTAAACATTTATAGAGATCTGGCGGAGTAGCGGCTTGGAACTGTCTAGCAGGATTTTGAACGAAAGATATATTATATACAGACTTGTGATATATTTCATTTTCTTATGAATATTTATACTTAAATAATATGTATAATTAAATTATTCTTATTATTATTACTACTACTACTACTACTACTACTACTACTACTACTACTACTACTACTACTACCACTGTTATTATTATTACTACTGTTATTAATATTATTCTTATTGTTATTGTTATTATGGAGCTGTTGATTTTGTTATTATTATTTTGCATAAACACGTAAGTATTTTTAGTACGTTACGTATTTATTTAATTAATGTAAAAAATTCTAGATGTTGTGATAATCCTGTGTGTACGTAACGATGTGTAAATAATATAAGTTATTGACTGAACGCACAATTCTGTTACTTGCATTGTACATTTATAAATTTGACTCTATGTCAATGTTACGTGATCACCAAAATACACCAGAGCACGTTTGTATCTTCTAGCCTCAATACACTTTTTCTTATCTACTTCTTTCACTTGTGTATCGTACAGTTCTCAGCATGATACATGCATGAATATTCTTAACAGGATCTTTCGAATACAATTGATGCATGAACGACATACGAAACTATTTATAGATAGATAATATAAATTTAAACATATATTATATATCGGAAGACATACTGAATTTGACAGATTTTTAAGGAAACTTTTATTTTATAAAAGTACTAGCTTTACTATATACTATTCTGCTGGATGAATTGAAAAAATATAATATAAATTTATTGGATTTAAATTGTTAAAAAAAAAAAAAAAATGTATCGACTATATCATTGTTATATTCTTTCAATAAATATCAGAAAAAATTTTTTCTTTTGTTGCACATAATTTAAGTTCTTTTTTTTTTTTTAATTAATTCAAATTTTAGTCAATACATATATAAATCTCTATATATTACTTAGAAAGATTATTATAAACATACAACTGAAATTTCAATGAAGCAATTAGCTTAAATAATTTTCAAATACATTTACGGAAAAATACGTTTGTTGTTAAAACGCATGTATTTCTGATAATAGATTGTGAAAATTATAAGAATAATAATAATGCAGAATTTAATTCTCACTTTCCCTTAAGATACGAGTGCATCGCACTTTTGAAGAGTTTTTCTCCCATTATTTCCGAGATCATGCGTATAACCGATGCACCTGAAATGTGAAGTTTCACAAACAAAGTTTATCGTTGCGAGAGGCTAATAAGCGCAGTTTATTACTCACCTTTATCGTAAGTGACAAAGTCGAGAGCTCCTGTTGCTGACTTAGAACTTCCTATGTCCCGTTTGTTCATTATTTTATTATGATCCATAGAGTCGGCGAGTAGACTGACGCGAGTGACTTCCAACGAGAACATATTCATCATTTGCCAATCCTTATGGACGATCCCTAGGATGAAATAGGAAAAATACGTAGCAAAGCCCTCTTTTAACCAGGCGAAGCTCCAGAACTCCGGAGTTACGATATTGCCAAACCATGTATGCGCGTATTCGTGGGCTATTGTTGTAAGGATGGTACGAACATGACGTAGTGGTGTCGTATCATTACGGATGAGCATTATCGATTCGCGAAATGCTATGAGACCCCAGTTCTCCATTGCATTGAAATTGAAGTCTGGCACTGCTATTTGCTCGACTTTTTGCAGAGAATTATTCACTACCATCCAGTCTTGAAGTGCTGAATAAATTTTTGGACCCTCCGTAAGGGCCGGATTCGAGGCTAAAGACCACGAAAGTTGGGAGTCATTGAGCCGAGTCCATAGCCAAATGCGTGGATCCGAAGAGTTCACTCGATAAAAGTCATGGATTGCCCAGCTCAAGAGGTAAGTTGACATTCGTGGCGTTTTTGCAAATGTTGTAATGTAGTAATTCGGCTCACCGCTGTTTTGAAAAGAAAAGAAGAAAAAAATGGTTACTTTTACACCTATTAACAATGTATTTTGTATTTCTGAAGACTTTTCTGTAAATAAATTGATAATTCATTATCTATCCATATACATTTAACAATATCATAAAATATTATAATCATAAATAATTTTACAAGTTTATTAGGACCGGCTTTTAAATTTAAATGGTAATTAATTTATAGCATTATTTACAATTAAGATTATTCAATTCAAATTGTCAGACATAATTTTTAGAATGTTTTGATTATGTAAGATGGTGAAAAAAGGATGAAGATTTTATTATTAAGAAGGAAAGAAAAAAAAAAAAAAGATGAAAATAAATATTTCTTTTGTCAAAAGCTATGCGCGCCTAGAGTTCTTTCAATTTTAGTAATTGTTTGATCGGCTAATAAGACTATTTAATATTTATGAAACTATTACTTCACATCGCTTATGTAAAGTGAATATCTATCTTACTTAGGTCTTCATTTCCCAAGACTTACTTACGAGATTTGTCGCGATTCTTGCATAGTATTTGACGATACTGTTTCATTATCATAATGTCCAATATGAAGTTGAAACGTCGCCTTAAATCCTGGCTCGTCCATACAAGGAAATGCTCGCCGTGCATATGTCGGTGAAAATTGTGTTACCCCTATCCACCTTCACAGTATTATGCGATTAATATTATTCTATTAATTATTTAATTAAAAATATCAGATAATTGGACAATAAATAATTATACAATCTTTTCATATATATATATATATATATATATATATATATATTATTTACTATTTCAAAATATATTCAGAATAGATAAATAGTTTATGAAATTAATACTATTCTTCTAATTAACGGTAAGTCATCGTGAACATTGAATTGTTACAATTTTTCATTTTTACGCATATATAAAATTAACAACGTGATTTCTTTACAAACAGATAGCAGATAATTAAATAATCTTTATTGTATCATTTGTAACATATGACATTGAACATATTGTTACATTATGAGGAAGTGTAATAATACATTTCTACATAAATATTATAAACAAAGTTTAAAATACTTCCTACATCATACTTACTACATCAATAAATTCATATTTATTAAAATAGTTATCAAAGATTCGGTAGAATACTAGAATTTTAATAAAAAATATCAGATCGCCAAGCCAATTTCTTCAATAATATTTATAGGTGCTTTGTTTTTGTATAATAGCAATTAGCAATATTTTTATTACGAACTATATGAAATTTAGGAAAGTTATTATTCATTATTACAAATTTACTTGAAATAGTTTTTCACTAGCTTTGTTGATTATATGCTAATTAAAATATAAGCTAAAATTAACGATTAAATAAGAAATTTACTATTATGTCATTTATAGATTGTATAATAAAATTTTCATTAAATGATCGATTTTATCAAATGGCGATAATAGAAAATAAAAATATTTAAATTTTATTTAATTGCTATCATCACATTTACATATATGCGAAAGACTTTTTAATGATAATTGATTTTTCAACGATAATAAGTAAATATTCACATTATACAATTGCAATATAAAATTCCAATATATGGAATATATAAGAATATATAAGGGATTTTTAAAATATAATAATTAAAATGTATCAATATGAAAAATATGTCTAAAAATTTTATAATCGAAATAATAATACTGTATTACATACTAAACATAACTCATTTATGCATATATTTTGTTATAAATGTGAAATTTAAAGAAATGTCTATGTTAAGAGGGAAACTACATATTTACATCTTTTATACGAGTTTATTCTTTTATAATCAGGTAAAACTGAATACCTTATTTGATTATTTATTCTGTAAGTAGTTCTATAAAAGCCGAAGACGTCATTCATCACCTCGCCAACGAACTGCACTGACAATAAATATCTTCCTGGTATTAGAATACTTGAAAAATTAATGATGTAAAATTGAGTTTCGTCCTGATACATTTGATTGCTTATTTGTATTTGTTGAAAATTATTATTTGGCAATATTCTGCGAAACATTGTTTCTTTATAGTCGATTTTCAGGTATTCCGAATGCACTATGACTTGTTTTGTTGCGTTTATTATATACAAGTTGATGGTAACCATTCCCTTATAAGTGAAATCACTTCTGCTGACATTGGTGAGCAACAGTATGTCGTAAGATTCGGGTACAGCACTTTTAGGAAGCCTGTACAGCGAGGTATTATCATTACTTTCATGAGCCTCTGAATATAAGATATAGATTCCAAAATAAAACACAATAATACACTGGAATTTGCCCATGATCGTGCGAAAAGTTCGTACTCTTAATTGTGATCTTGACCTACGGGAACGCGACTGTTGCACGTCCTCGCGAGAAGAGGACAACCAAGAAACTGCGCTGGTAGATAGTTGATTTGCTATAGACATCTGAGAATTTTTAAATAATTATTAATTGACCAGTTAAGAAACTCAATATTTAATTGATGATTTATCTAATGATAATATCGAAGATAAAGAGAATTTAGCAAATACATTGGAAGGCGTGATCGTATGTGCGTATGTGCACTTAGTTTGACATACGTATTCATGTTTATATGACAGCGTATATGTATTAGAGTATATATATATATATTCTAAAAATTTTCCTCCCTTTATTTAATGTATACAATGTTCCAGATTTGAAAAAGAGTTTATCTTACAAAGTGGTTTTAACCTTTCATGATATAACAAATGAGTATTAGCTTCTTTGTTTATATTGTAATGATATTTTAAGAATAGTGAATACTTTTAAAAAACATTAATTAGAATAAACAATAAATAATAATTAAATTTAAATGTATCATGTTATCTGAATCAATATTATTTATCAAATTTTTAAGATAAATTCAAGTTGTTTTATGTACGAAAAATTAAAGTAAATTATTGTTGATCAGAGTATTTATTTAAATGAACATACTTATTAAATAAACTCTCTTCGTTTTAATAAATTAAAAAAATTTAATATTTCTCACAGTCTTTAGGCTAGTGCAGTACTGTACACAATACCATAACATTTATCTTTATAAACATTTATAAATAATAACTACATCCTTCATCATTAAGAAGATTAATAATGAAAATTTTAATTATATTTTCTCTTGTACTTATTTAATAATCGTACTATTGAAGTAATTTGAATAATTACAAAAAAAAAGAAGAAGTTTTTAGCTAAACTACATCTTTTATAATAAAGCAAATTAAAAAAAAATAGTGAAGATTGTAAGAATATTTGAAATGTTTTTCTTGCTGATTACTTAGTATATTTATAATTACTCATTTATATTTAAAATTCAATATTAATCTCATAATTAACAATTTTCCTTTTTATACCTTCGTGTTTATGCTTATTAAAATTCCATAATGTATATATATATATATATATATATATATACACACATTTATGCCATTTCTCTTATTCGCATTTTGTAGATATGAAATTTTAGGAAATTAATTGATAGGATTAATTTCAGTAAAACATTAATAATGTAAATATTAATCAGAAATGTTTTTAAATTTCATAGAAAATTTTGTTATAATTCGTCTTGATAAAGTGTTTGAATCATACAAGAATAAATTCAAGTATTCTTCTAGTAGTGAAATAAGAATTATTTCGTTAACTTAGAAAAATTTGTAAATAGAAATATATGGATAGTAGCACCTAATATTCCTAAATATTCTATAATGAAATAATGTATTTAAATATCCTTACTAGCATTTACTATTAATTTCAAAGTTTAATAATAATATTAGTGTGATTAATTCTTATATCCTGAATACTTTAAATAATATGAAAATTGTTAATTTTGATAATAGAATGTTGGAACATGGAATTTTTAATAGAAGGTCATTGTTCGAGTTGTTTCTTTCGTGATGCGTATGTATATTTTAAATAAAAATTTTTAATGGAAAAATAGCAAAAATATAGTATATAAATAAAGAAAAAGCAGAATATAAAAATATAATAAAATGAAATTAAAAAATGTTCAATTCGAGAATATATATATACAGATATAATAATATAATAGAAGCAAGTATTTGAAATTTGTTTATAATGTTAAGAAATATTTCATTATGTGATAAGATGCATTGATAAAAGTATTTATTGAAATGATAACAGAGAACGTAATTATTAATGTATTGTCGCAACCAATTATTTAGAACAAAATACAAATTAAAATAAGATTTTGATCTATTGAACAAAGCGATGCATGTAAAATATGAGTTTGTACCATCTTCCGTCATATTATAATAACCAGATTTCTTTATTATTTTATTTCTTTTGTTTTGTTTTGTTTTGTTTTTTTTTTTTTTTTTTTTAATTCCTCGTTAGCCTTCCGATATTAAAAACAATAATAACAGCCATACAGTCAAATGAAACAGTATGTAATGAGTAAAAAAAGAATACATACAAACGCGATGAATCTTCGTCTAGACTAAGTAAAAGAAAAACATTAAAAGTGATTAAACATTACAAATAAAATCAACGTCAGCGGAGGCTAAAATGATGATCAGGCATGAGAGAAGAATACGAAAAGATGTTTATAGCACGCCAGTTGCACGCCTTATCCGAATGATCGCACAGTCAGTGATACGTCGATGGCGGGTGCCGCTTGTACTTTGATTAAGCGATCGCTGATCAACACTAGCGTAGACGAGTTTTCTCATGAGCTAACCTCGATGTGACCTTGCGTTGACCCCGTTGTGCTTGTCGATGCGGGTAGGACGAGTGTCAAGCCGCTTGTTAGGATTAGCATGTAATTGAAATAGCCTGCGTGTAATGTGTGCTCCTAGGCTCGGGTTCGAGGTTTACCTGTGTTCCACGTATCTTCATATTGGAAAGTTGAACAATGTATCGTATGACATGGTGGCGAGCTTTTTTATTCGTTTGTTCTGTCCTTACATTTTGCGTTTGTTTTAGCTTTACGCCCGTGATAACGCACATATTACACGCGCGTCCATGTGCTCCGTATTATTAAGAAGAAGGGGTTCGATTATTTTTATATTTTCTCATCTTTTGAGATTTTAAAATAAAGTATTAGCTTAATAATCTCAGTATTTAATCGGTGTGAGCTCATGTTTACTTTTTTTTTCTTTTTCTTGAATTTTTTTTTTTTTTTTTTTTTTTTATTCTAGAGGATGTATTAAGTAGTGTTTAAAGAGCTTCTTAATTAATATATTTTATTAAACGGATTGTGTTGCTATTTTAAAATGAATGTGCATTTATAATGAAAATTAAAAATAATAAATATAAAACATTAGAGTGGCTTTACGAGAATAAATGACTCTATCGCCGTATTAAATTGTATAGTAAGTCAAGGATAAAAAAGATTATCTATCATGAGAAATGAATAAAGTGAATTCCAAGTGTCTTATCTATATAATCGCGGTATTTAATATTTAATACATATGTATCGAATGTAGAAAAACCTTATTTCGATGATTTCGTATTTGAGACGAGGAATAAAATTCATAATTATTGACAAAAATCTCAAAGATCATGATTTTCAAGCGTAAATCGGCACATTAACGTACATATTTCTGGCTAAATAATGAATACTCTATAGAGCATTAACCACCCATCCCATTTGATGCAATTCTCATTTCATCGAAGATGCATAATTGCATGCTTTAATGAGCACTACCTATTGCTATATAATGAGCCGTCTGGTTAACTTAATGACGTTGCCCTTTCATATACCTATAAATAACAAAAACTTCCTATTCCATGCTTATTCTTATCGATTAAAAAGATTTGTCCAACTCGATTATTCCATTTATTTTTCATAACAATTCCGATTAAGAAAAAATATTATTTTCAACTATCGTTACAGAATTATACTTGGATAATTGTAAAAATTTGTTCTAATATTTTAAAGTTTTATTGATAAGATTAATCAATTTGAGTTTTTTTTTTTTTTTTTTTTTTTGTTATTCATATATAAGGTTTGAGCAAAGCAAACATAGCTATACGTAGATCAGCTTAAATACATTATTAAATATTATTCAACTTTTTAGCATGATAAATATTTCTATTCTGGGTTTATATTAATCGAAAAACCTAGATATCCTATATATTATCAATTCTAGTCTAAAAACGAATATTTTTATTATATCGAATTTAATGTGATTATTCAACTTTTAAATATTTAAATCAATTAAATTTTTATTTTATTAAATGTGTATTTACAGATAAGAAGAAAAACTCGATTCTTTAATATGACTAAAATAAAATTGCATCAAATACATCATGAATTTGGATTTTATGTTTTTTTTTTTTTTGCAAAAACGTGATTCGAATCATTTATTTTTATAATAATTAGAGAAATAATGTTCAACTGATAAATATCAACGGAGTCGACAATATTTTTTTTTATTAATAAGCGGTTAAAAAGGCATGTTCGATAAAGCTTGTTTAAATAAATAGTTACAAATTTAAAAACACATACGATTCCCATAAGTTATTGATAATAACAATTATTTAGTTATTAACAGTTATTTTCCAAAAATTACCGAATAAAAGTAATATAAGTAAACATTTAAACTTTCATTATATCTATGAATTAATATTCGTGCATATAAAATATTCAGACTTAGTAGAAAAATTATGTTTATCATATAATCTTCAAACAATTGTAATAATGAATTGTAAGATGAAAATTAATTACAACAAACGTAAAAATATCTTAATCTTAATTTTCGAACTCTGTTTAATTCCCTTCCTATGCTAATTAATCAATAGAAAATGATAACTATTATAGAATTTTAAAAGTAAAGCACTGATTTTATATAGATAGATATATTTATAATTCAATACTTTGATGTTTAATTTGTTCTTAATTATGTTTTGATATAATCCAAATATCGTAAAGAATAGATTAGAAAGAAAGTGAAGTTTAATAGTTATTATGGGATATATTCGTTTGTAGAATATAAATATTCATATAAATCTGGGAAATAATTGTGTATATCAATTGAGAGAATATTTAATTTGTTTTACTAGTTTAAGTGTAATACTGATAATTTCACATGCATACTGTAGATACCATCAAACTTTGAACTTGTTAATGCCGTTCATTAATGATTCACTAAAATCGATGTTATCCTAAACTTATTTTATTAATCGACGGCAAACAACGATATATCTCACGTCATTTAAATTAATTAAACCTATTTAAGAAGTATATTGATATTAGCATAACTCATTAATTGATTCTGTTAATTAGGTAATACTTTTTCGTATTTTAAGTACTTTCACATGTTCAAAAATTATAATCAAGAAAATTAAAGAATCGTATTTGTTAATATTATGAATTACTTATCCATTTAAATATTTCTGTGCTATAAATATGTCAAATATTTTGTCTATTAATTCAATTCAGAATCGCCTAAACATACATACACACGCTCGTAGGCATATAATACAAACTTCTTTACTTTAGATTACATTTACTGAATTAAATTTATTATAAAAACTTATTGAATTTATAAGTGCTAAATGATTAATGAGTAAATAGTTTTTTTTTTTAATTATATATGAACATGTACAAAATGACACTAAATTTAAATTAATTTTATTTTCTAATTAATTACAAATTTTAACTAAAGTAAGTAACGAAATTATCGTAAATAATGCATGGACTGATTGATAAAGAAACAATAATAATTACGTATTTCATAATTTTACTCTACAGTCAAGCAGTTTAATGTTTTAAAGTTGTTTAACTATTCGATCTACAGAATAATATGGTTAAGATTATTAATATCGTGAATCGTTATCAATTAAATAATACTTTATGTAAAAAAATTTTGTGTATGATTTTTGTTATTTTTGACTTTGTGTAAAACAACAATTATGTATAGCTTATTAATAGCATTTAGCGTAAATATTGAGAATTATAATTATCTAATACTGAAATTAAAATTTCTATAATAGTTTTTTATTTGACAATGAAAAATATTCTTTTAGTACAGCGAAATATATATTTTGCTAATATGATAATTGCTCAATAAAAATCATCTATGCTCAATTTATTTAAACTGAAAAATTATTACGATTCAATTATTATTTTTATTTTATTATTATTATTTTTGTTGTTAGTATTATTATAAACTATTATTATTATTTTACTCCATTGATTTATTCATTTTAATTTGAAAAGATTTTTTACGAGAAAGGATGACAAAGTATGATAAAAGAATTATGCATAAATTTTAATAAATGCATGTTAGAAACTGACAATTAAGTGTATGTCGTTAGGTAATCAATTAAATTTGATCATAAAAATTAATTAGCTATGAAGTGAAATTTCTTGATTTAATATTTGGAAACACTTAATGAATTTTTGAAAAGCTAACCTGAGATTTTACGTTAAATAAACGAATTGAAAAAACAGAATATCTTTTTGAAAAAATCGTTTGGTGTATTTCTTGAAATAAAAAAATGAAAAAGGGAAGCCTTTTGTCTTTCATGACTTTTGCTGGATCCTTTGCCCAACCTCTATGTTTCCCCGTCCCCCTCCATCCTTTTCGTCCGCTATACTGAAAAGGGTATTTATATAAATGGTAGAAGCAGGTTTTCACTCATTTCTTTTACTTCTTTTTCTCACAAAGGCTGGAGGTGCTGTGGTTTCATAAAAAGATGCTGATAAAAATGTAGAATGGAGGTGTCATGGGATGGCAGGTGGAGGTATATCCCCTGGAGCAATCGCCTCGGTTGTCATCATCGTATCGCTATTCTTATCATGTACAGAAGAAACCGGATGATATCGCTGAGCGATGCCATTACAAAGGCTCGCGAATCTAAACCAGAGGATGTGAACTTTATAAACGTATTATGTGTATATATATATATATATATTATTTTTTGTTTATATATATTCATATATTTATATATATTCATGCATAGACAAACTTGCGTACCATTCTAACAGTGGACATTGCATCCGTGCTATTCACTTTTGTTTATTAACGTTCAACATTAACGTCATTACATACTAATATATGTATGAAAATGTTCTTTGCAATGATAATACAAGTCGCATGTTTCGTCTATTATTCTTTCTAAAGTTTCGCTGATTTTTCCAACATCAGTTGCCATGGGAAGGAATAATTCTCTGTAATGATAAATGTTAAGCAAATCAATATCGGCATATAGGTAGAAACGCTAACAGCCGTACTCAAATAATAACTGGTAGACTGTTTCGATATGTAACCAATATTGGTAGATTGATACCGAACTATTAATATTTTACTAAAATTATTCCGAGGTCTAAAAGCAAGTGCTGCCGTAGTATTGCTTTAAGCTATCTCTACTACGAAAGTGTAAGGATGATAAATTTTGTACATTGAGCGATATCGTGAATTCTCCTTTAAATAATTCAATACTTTATTCAATACTCTAATTTATATATAAATTAAAATAATCTTCAAATTTTAGTGTACATCTAATTTATCTCGTAGTAAAATAATTAAATGCTGATATAAAACAGTAGTATCGAAATAGTAGTAACTTAATAATACAAGAGAACCGAGTATGGCAAAAGTTTGGAAAGACTTTTCTAATTATCATGATCAAAAGACCAGCAGCACCTACATACTAGTAGTTAGAATAAGCTGTCAAGCGACCTATTTACTTATTCTGCCCGTACAATAATATTATTTATTTAGAATAGCCTATAATATATATATCGACTTGCATTTGAATTTTAATATTAAAAGGCTTTTGATCAATTAACGATATACAAAAACATGGGAAAAAATCAATTCATAATATAAATTCAGCAGTTATATATTTTATAATGTAATATGAATTATATAGTAATTATTTGCTCAATAATCGATTGTGTAAATAAAAGTATTTATTTTGTTTATTCTCTTTTCGAAAATTTTCTTAACGTCTTATATTTATATCGAGATCAATGCTTTAATCAAGAATATAAATCATTATATTTTTTATTTATTGCTAATATTATTTACTAAAATATTCGTTATTATCCTTTATATTATTACTTACACGGGATATTACGAAGCATATTTATGAAAGTAGTACGCTAATTGCTTTGATGAATTTTATATTTTTATGATAGAATTAAAAAAAAAAAAAAAAAAAAATACTTTACGCTGATAGTCATATGAACGAAAATTTGTAATTTACGCTTAAAATAGGTAAACACATTTAATTATTGATGCGTATCATATATTAATATATATATTTTTTTTAAATATTTAAGAATTAATATTACATTTATTTAAATTTAAGGAAAGATTACTCATTTAGAAAGGTTGGAAAGGTCGCGATAGTACGAGAAATTTGTATTTAATATACAAAGTGATTTTGATATTTATAATAAATCGATAAAAAATCAGGAGTATCAAGTGTCCGATTTACTTTTTGCTGAATACGAGAATAACAGTATCTCGAAAAATGTTGATTGTTGAAAGATGTATGGCACGATCATACTGTCATATTTTATCAAACGTAATACGGTATTCGACATTCCCCAAACGGCTCCTTCCAAACGTAAAAATTCATCGGATTATACGTGGGTATGCACATATATATTTCTACGCATGTATGAAAAAAAGTATAATGATATACCGATAGAGAGAGAGAGAGAGAGAGAGAGAGAGAGAGAGAGAGAGAGAGAAGGAGCTATTGGCGGTTGTGGTGGGTGGTAGTGGGGAGGGATCGAGGGTTGGCGAACAGCTTGTTATTGGATCAAGTCGACAAAATGCTATTTGCTGTTGCAGTGGAAACTTAATGCGTTCCAACCGGTTGATAACGGCGATGCGCAAAGACGACGAAGAGGACGCCGAGGCGTATGTTTTGCTTCCGGCCTTGGCAAACTGGTGGCTACCTCACTCCTATAAGCCCGCGCGATGCTACAATTGCCATACCACCACCTAACGTTGTCCTGGCCTTATGGGCTGTCTACTGGCGTCGTCTACGGAAGTGGGGTAATTTCATTACGCTGGTACTTGAAAGCTCGTCAGTCTCTCCCGCTATTTTCCGTTTCTCACTCTCTCACT